AAATAAATTAAGCTGCAGGTGTGACCAATTAAAATACGGAATACTTTTTATAAATCAAATTAATTTATAAATATAAGATCATGCATTATTAATTACATAGCTATATTTTTAAAAAATCTTACAAACAATAGAGAAGTTCACCATCTAAAATGCTGCCAAAAATTCAATAAACTTCAGGCAAACGTGACGACACTTTCCCACCGAAATGACGCCCATTTTTAACACTTTGAACACCATATGGGCCACAATAGCCGAAGATTCGACCTCAGCAGTTTTCTGTCGACAGTCTAAGCCTTTTTTAGACGAGAAAATATCATCCAATGACTTCTCACTGCTGTAGGTGAGGCGAGAGATAGGTGTCAGACTCTTACTGACTAAAAATCACTCAGTTCCTACTCCAAATTCGAGATGAGAGGGATGCCGGCAACCCGTTAAGCCTTAAGAGTTCCGTCTTCATAACACAGTTTGTGAATACCGTGATTTAGAACCATCTTTGTCATGTCATTTCCATGACACGTGTGCGAACATTTTATAAACAACTGAACGTTCGTTTCAAATGTTACAAGCTAGTGGGCGGAAACCTTTACCAAGAGGGTGTATCATGCTTTAAGTGTGAGAATAGGATTTTATTTTTTTCACCTTCTCTGTAAGTTGTGAGTTTATTTAGTAATTGAGACCAATTTTATAAATGTTTTCACTTTGAGATAAATTGAATGATTTCCTGAGATTTTACCGGTTACGGACTAAAATAAAATATGTATGCCCAGGCCACAAACTTATTTTTTTAGAAAAAATATTATTTCATTATAAATCTTTGAGAAATATTGTATTTTTATCTGACTTGTCTTGTCTTTCCAGACTCAATGAGTCACAAAGCTCAAAATAAACATTTGGATGCTTTTTAAATATCATTTCAATTTAATCAATATTACATTATTATGTTTTCGGCTTAAACACGTAATAATTTATTTAGTATATCTCACGAAAGTTATAATACAAATTAATCAATATTCGCTTAGATTGTTGGAAGAACTAACAAAAGAAAAGACTATCATTGAACTTTTAATACTATACAAATATCACAGATGGAGAGCAAATATACAACACAGTTGAAGAAATGCATTGCTATCGTTGAGATAGAGCGAGTTATCTGATAACGCAACAATTATAGGCACGATCCCTAGCTGGGCCTCACTTTGTGTATCTCTCAGCTTTCATGACAGCCTGGTACTCCGTTCTGAATACTTCTTTCTTCTATCATAAGTAATTTATGGCTGTTTTTATTTCAACTCATTTTTATACAACCTTATTAGTTGCAGCTTATCTCAAAATTGATGTATTTATATTTTCTACTACCTGTTGCCCTGTGATCCGCGTAGAATTGGGAATTTTAGAACATATACATATAATCCAAATTTTTTTTAAAATTCACCTTAGTACATCAGCTACCAGCCAATAAAAGTCTTACAAAATCCGTCTAGCAATTCTAGAGATTAGCCAGTACAAACAGACAGACATATATAGACAAAAATAGTAAAAAGCATTATTTTGGTATATGTATCGTATGTATATTCATATGCGTGTAGTAGAGAGCGGTTATTTTTATAGTACAAACAGACACTTCAGTTGTATTTATCTGTATAGATTCAGTCATTACTGAATTATAATTATTATTATTATCAGAGTTGATTATCAAAGAAGACTAGGCAGTCTTCTTTGATAAGTCTTTGTTGGCCGAGTGGTCGCAATTGCGACTGCCGGGCAAGAGGTCTCGGGTTCAATTCCCGGGTCGGGCAAAGTATTACTGGGTTTTCAAAAAATTCTCAGCAGTAGCACGGAGTCTGGAACTATGCCCGGCTATAGGCTCACCCCCTATTACATGGGACTCGTAACATAAATAGTGAAAAGTAGGTGTTACATTGTATAGTGGTATAATGTGCACCTCTGCCTACCCCTTCGAGGATAAAAGGCGTGATGTTATTTTATGTTATGTATTATCAAAGTTAATCGTTTATCTACCTCGACAAAACATGTCTATGCCCTCTCATATTTTTATAGATTCTCAACCTTAATGTTTTACAACAATGTTTCGGCGATTCATTTTTATTTGTACAATTATAAGACTGACACTGACACATACGTCAATAATCTCTATGATACAACGAAGCCGCGAATGTTCCAAAGTTTATCTCTAATCGCTCCGATTATACAATTGTGAATTGTATATAGATCAGTATTAGTCATAATATTGTATAATAGGTCTCGCTTGGTTAAGAGTTTAAGAAATAACTTGGTAAACAAAGTTCCTATTATGGTTTTATTGTATTTTGATAGGTCAATGTGTGTGTATGTATCTTAAAATACATTTTTAATCTGTGTGAAATAGGGAACATACTTCAGGCTAGATCTTCATCTCGTTATGCTCTATATCTAATCAATGAATGTTGTATTAAATTCGTTTTATACTCTTCTAGTTAACCAAAAAAGATTGAGTTTTTTTTCCAAATTCTAATAATTTTGCTCTAGAAAGTCATCGTTTGTTACATGGAATGGTAAGCTAATAAAATTAATTAATTAATAGTGAAAATTGACTTAACACATCAGTCCAGCATACCACAGTTCTTTAAAAATAACAAATTTATATAATATATATAACGTTTTCATAATATTGTTCACGAAAAACAATCGTCAGGCTGCAAGATATTGTATCGAACTTTGCTATCAATGTATTATCTAGATTCTAGCGTACACATGTACAATATTACAATACATGAAATAGCTCGGAGTTGGGATTACCCACAGTTATTTGCTATGTAAAATCGACGTGTCATGGTCATGACTCATTGTAGAGGTATACAACTATACGTATATATGTATCATCATACTTGCATTCCTATTTTATATGTTGCATAGGCAGACTCCAGATACTGGTATTTTAATTGGTATAAATTATAGGATATAAACTGTTATTCTGAGCTATATTTCAACATAACATCATGCCTTTATCCCCGAAGGGGTAGGCAGAGGTGCACATTATGCCACTGTACAATGTAATAACACCCCCACTTTTCACGATTTATGATATGAGTCCCATGTAATAGGGGGTGAGCCTATATATCTGGCACAATTCCAGACTCCGTGCTACTACTGAGAATTTTTTTTTTTTAAACTCAGTAATACTTTGCCTGACCCGGCAATCGAACCCGAGACCCCTTGCCGGCAGTAGCACTTGCGACCACTCGGCCAACGAGGCAGGCTATATTTCAAGTGTTTTTTTAATAGAAAATACTGTCAAAGAAACAAAGTTCAATATTCAGTGTTAGTGTCAAGGACTTAAGTTCCTAGTCCTAGGTCAAGAGAATAAAAAGAATTGTAACTCCATTCCTAATCACATTGGTTGCTGTAACAATCTCTGCAGTAACTACTATAATTTTGTATAATAACTAACGTGAAACTGTAAAATACTAAAACACAGATGAAATTAGTGATAAATACAGACAAAATGTGGCTAACAGAACAGCTCTGCTTACACCTTCATTATAATAAATAAGTGCGAAATCATGTAACTCACACACAGACACACAATTCAATATTTTGGCTGCGGTCAATCCAACTCTGCAAATGGTATTACCCCAGTAGGACTTCGCGAGTTCAAGGGCGCGCCCGCCCGCCAGAGATAACTGTCGCATATACAAATATAAATATTTACTGTACACACAGACAAGTGATAAATATATTAAACATAACAATAGCATTTTTGATCCCTTTAAGTAGCAAGCTAGTCATTAAATTGTAGTTTTTTTTTTTTAAAGCGTTGCCCACACTAGGATTTCCTCCTGTGTCGTGGGTACGTTTACAAACATACAAGTTCACATACACATGACGCCCAGACCCGAAACAACAATTTGTGGATCCCGCTAAGTGTTGTTCCGTGCGGGAATCGAACCCGCGACACGTTGCACGGCAGCCGGTTGCCCAGCCACCGCACCAACCGTGCAGTCGTGTCGTGCAGTCAAGTTAAAAGTCAAAATCATTTATTAACTAAAACACGTGAATATACTGAGAAGAGCTCTACTAGTTTCGATTCGCAGAGGGGTTCTTCCTCATGAGCAGCATGCACGGACGTGGCGCAGATAATTATTATCAAAATCATTTGTTTCAATTAGACCCGAAACACACTTTTGAACGTCAACAAAAAGTGAAGCTATTTGCTCAATCCAAGGTTATGTGATATACTCCTGACTTAGTGAACAAGCCATAGGTTCGCCTCTTTTTTACTTAAAAGTGAAAAATTCTCATAGATTCTCATCATCTGGGGAAGACAACGGGATCTCTTATGTATTAAACTGACTAAGTTTTCTCAAAGGAGCAGGCATAGGTGTTCATTTATTATTTTTCGCCCACTTTGTACTATTGTTAAAGTTAGATTAACAAATTTAATATATTCTTCTCCATCTCTATTTAGGTGGAAATGCCATGATGATATTAAGTTAAACGGCTTATTTAATGAACACATGTTCTGTTTATAACTATGAATAGTACCATAGTGTCGTCCGATGCTTACATACGTAGAAGCTAAACACGTATAGTTAATACCTGCCTACGCAAGTTCGCCTATGTATGGACAGTAGGAAATCAATATTTATATTTAATTCTATTATCGATTCCTGTATGAGTAGCTTTACGGTTGTTTTTTTATGTATTTGGTAGTGTTATAACTTGGCATCACACTTCATAGCTTGAATACAATAAATACATAGGGAAATACTTTAAAATAGTGAAATGATAACATAGGCGTAGCCACACTTAACTAAATGGAAGGAGTTGGTCTGAAAAACTTAAACTGGCTATAAATGTAGGAGAAAGAACTGCTGAATAAATCTGTAAAAGATTTGGTAAAGGTATTCTGTGATTTTTACCCTGGTAACGGGGTTGAAACCGCTGACAAAAATTGATTTGTTAATATAATTATACTAATATATTCCTAATCTGTGTTCCAGGACACATTCGGTCGCGCCAAGAACTGGGTGAAAGAGCTGCAGCGGCAAGCGTCGCCTTCCATAGTGATAGCTCTGGCGGGCAACAAGAGCGACCTGGCCGCCAAGCGCATGGTGGAGTTCGAAGAGGCGCAGGCCTACGCTGACGAGAACGGGCTCCTCTTCATGGAGACCAGCGCCAAAACCGCCATGAACGTCAACGACATTTTCTTAGCTATCGGTAAGTGAATGGATATTACTATGTACTTAATGCCTCGTGTAATGTCTACGGAAGTTTCAACAACAGGACTATCAGATGTAAAAAGAACTTTAGTATTTTCTATAAATTAATGTGTCTTGTCTTTGTTGCATTTGTCGATGTTGTCGAAACTATACTAAACTAAAAAGTAGTAGGTACTTTTATGTATTTAAGAGGTTTTTTTGTCGGCGAGTATCGTATAACTGTGTAACAATATGTGCCTGTGAATGTTCCAGCGAACAAGTTACCAAAGAGCGAGGGCGGCGGCAGCGCGGGCGCGGGCGGCGCGCGTCGCCTCGGGGACGCCGAGCAGGCGCGCTCCTCCTCCTGCTGCAAGTGATAGGTACCGGCACGGTATGTACAAATTGAACATCGTATAATTACTACACAACACTAATTGGAATATAGTGCTTACTGTTAACAATGCGAGAAAGGTTATGCTTGTTCCATGTCACACTCATACTCATGAGCAGCTCTATTCTATCATTATTTCTACATTTCTCTATGTTGTACATTGTAAAATCATATTTTTACACAATATCCTATCTAGCAGGCCTATCTACTAGGCGGCTCTTGTAGATAAAATATGATGTGGCGATTGTTCTAAGACGATGTTCTGAAATATTCCAGAATACCGCCGTACGGTGAGGGCGTGCACGCGGGTTGAGGTACGTAGTAGGTAATGATACAGCCGCCGGCAGACGGAGCCCCGCCCGAGCCCCGCGCGAGCCCCGCACTCCCCGCGCGAGCCCCGCACTCCCCGCACGGACATACACACACCCGGCAGCTTCTCATCACATCAATCTATGAATTATAATACATAGCATGCTGCAGGGTCGACATTAGTACTGAAGCTGTCTCTGGACATCCGTTGCATTCGCCTTCTTCCTAGCTAATTGTTACCGAGCTACGCCTCGCGAGGCAGTCCGCTGTATACATATGTATATCTACCTTTTATGCAATATTAATTAAATATAAATACGACTCGCCTCCCTGGCTCGCCTCGCCTCATACTAGTGTGTCGTACGTCCACGCGGGCCGCATTAAAAACATTATATAATATTAATAAAAAAACAAGCTAATTATAAAAAAATGATAACTAGTTTTAAACTTATTTGTAACTGTAATGAAAATGTAATAAAAAATGATTATATTTACTTTCGTTTGTATCAAGTTAGCAGTGCACTGTGCAGTAGTAGGGTTACTTAACGAGATTCCTTCGTTTAGCAGTAATTGAGCTTGTGTTATATCTGTAATACAGCGCGCAGCGTGCGCCAGTGGGGGGCCGAGTCGCCTCGAGGAACCGTTCGTATCGTCCCTGCTTGTGCCCCCGACTGAGGCGTGCTGCCACATAGACGCGTTTATTGTCAAAATTATTGGTGAAGGTGCATTTACATTTGTGTATCGTTACATATACATTTAATATTATTTTAATCATCTGTTCACAATCGCGCAGGCGCACCGTTCCCAAGCAATCTCAGTGTCGCAAAGTAACATCTTGTCATTTGGGAACGTGTGTCGCCTGCCACTAGTGTCACTAGGTCGCCACTAGTGTCACTAGGTCGCCACTAGATGTCGCAATGTTCTTTTACTTATAAATGTTATCATTTGTGTCTGCACTGTTTAATAAAATATTTTTATCATATACATATTATATATACTTTCTGTTTAAGTTTGATAAATCGGAAATGTTTTAAAATGACGAAAACAGTTACGCTTGGTAAAATATTGTAATTTTATATAAATATAGAGTAACATTTATAAGTGAGGAGTTTCGTTCCCCCGGCAGTAATGCCCGCTCCTTCGCCCGCGGCACCCAGTCTGCTGACCTTCGTCTCCAACCCACTCAACCTTTGTCCCTACACCTCTCACTAAATTCCGGGCGAAGTACACCCTAACAATGAATTGGGAATTCCCAATAAATCGTATCGGTTGGGAGCAAGACGTGAATCCTTCATAGTACTAATAATAAAATCAATCGTCGAATTGTCTAGGTACATTCATCCATACATTATTTTAGTTCAAAATAATATAATACGGCATAGTTATTTAATGAAATAGATTTACACTTCTCAGTTAGGAAGTTTATATAGTTATTTTTAAAACACTAATTATTCGATGGATAAATTGTTCTATACATATTATTAATTATTATGTATATTGTCTTGTATAATTTATATTTTATAAGTAAAATGTAAACGGTGGGTCATTGATGTCGTATCCTTTTTTATAATCGCATTCCATACAGGGAGGACTTAGTGTGGGGCAGTTCCGGAGTTTGTGTCGATAACATTAGGCTGTACACTTAACATCGATCATTTCTCTGATGTAGCTGTCACACCTCTATTTGTCGATATATTGCAAGTACTTGTAGCGTTCGCCAGTTTGTCCTTACATCCAGTAAACTTTGGTTTATATTGTCGCTACTCGCTCTATGTATCAGCAATGTTATGTATGCTGTGTGAACGCAATCAGTTTTCGCTTGTTCTAAGATATCACGTTAATTTCCTTCGAGGGCTTGCATCACTCCTTAGCAAACTTATTATTTATGTATAAGAGGATAGGTCTGTACTGTGTAACACCTGCAAGATGGAACAAGTCCTGACGTGTCAGTATAGTAACTGTTATCAGCCCATACCGTAGAGTTGGGAGAAATTTGTCAATGAAATTGTTGAGTCAGTCAGCTGTTGTATATTAATCAAAGCTTTTAGATATATTTGCTGTCCGTTTCGTGGTATGCCGTTGTTCCAATACAAGGGCAAGTGCTGCTTTACAGTGCGGTTGTCACGGCGTACCATGAAATGTTGCAATGTTAAGGGCAGCCTGGATGACGCCGCTTCCTTGCACCAACACTTATAGGTTCCTATAAGTTCCGTAGAAAGACAGATATTATTTTCTAACCAATCTTAGTAGACCTATCTCAAACAAGGAAGCGGCAATGAATAATGAACTTTAAAACCAACGCAATAGAGTAGTTGTTGCAAGCAGTTCCACGAAATTGGTTAGTAATAGTAACACTGGCCGTCTCGGCTGGCCACGGACGCCGATCATGGTCGTATTGTATGTTTTTTGTATTGTGTAAATATTTTGGATTTATTAAGAATATTATTATATTGATTAAAAAAACATTGTAAATGGAAGAGTTTCTGGTGTTTCATTTCATTTTTACCTTTCTCCTGTTAATGAGTTCAAAGAGAGTAACACAAACTTATGGGTCACTGAGCAAGACATTTCCATCAATAAAAATGGCACAACCCTTTCAGACAGAAAATATCGATAAAATGATAGATACATAAATTATAAGATGTTTTGTATACATAATTATTAATTATTATTCAATTCAATAAAAAAATACTTCAGTAAGTCCCAACAAAAATACGTCATATTTGAGCTGAGCTAAGACTTCATAGTGAGTGAGCTAAGACAACATAGTGAGAAGTGTATTATAAAGTGGGTAGAATCAGCTGTAATAACCAAGACACGCCCGCACTCGCAATACCAATATCTATAATTTCAAAAATTGGTAGTTCCGTGGACGCGATCATTATAGTTTGGAACTTGTGTACTTCCTTACAATATAGATTAAGTTATACACTTCACTGAGTTGCAATACCTGTCTTCGAGAACCAGCAAATTCACACCCCAATACTACATTTTTAAAATGTATTTATATTTAAACATTACTTTTATCATCACAGACAGTAGGCACACATAATAACGCCGGAGCCTCGGCAACCCGTTAGGCCTTCCGCGGCTCCATATCGGGCATCAGCCCTACTGGGCCCATCTGTGGTGGTCTGTAGCTCTAAAGCGCACGGGGAACGCGACACGCGGTTCTGGTCGGGCGGCGAGCTGCCCTTACCCACCATACCCGCACTTCTGTGGCCGGAAATAGTCTCGCAATCTCCGACGCCCGGAGTGTCTCCCGCGACGGCTGGGGCGTGAGGAGGTTTGTTCCCTTACGCGCCCCGCCTCCTTTTTGGCTAGCATGAGTGCTTCGAAGAAGGAGGAGACCGCATCCCCTGCCCCCTCGCTCCGTATAACAACAAATATATTTTTAAAATCTATGTAGGTACTATCAACGTAATGAATAAATAGAATGAAATAAAGTACAAATCCTAGGAACTTAGTATTAACAACAGCCTCATAAGTAACTTTTGTGAACTCGTTGGGTGTAGGTACCTAGGTATATGAGAATATATCCGTACTGTCCGCTATTGCATTCAATGTGCGCAACCCTCGCGTCGTTGGTACCTTCCTTCCTTCCTAGCCTGTATACTATAGTAGTCTTTGGTGCCTTCTGCAAGAGGTTCGTGCGTGCGCACGCTACCACCAACAGCCGCGGCCGTCGCCTACGCTGTACGTACTCGTCTCCAGAACACACAGGCTATATTTCTCCAGTAGGGCTGGGTTGTGCGTTGTACCTCGCAACACCTTAAATAAATAAGTACTTAACTAGAGCTACTTCACACCTCACCTCCAGTTTATAGTATCCTACCATACCCAGTGCAAACAACGTTGGATATAGTATTGGGTATCCTGGGTACACCGTACGATTTTGAATACATGTATCTGGCAAACTAATTTTGGATACCTTCTATCATAAACTTATATTTTGTCCTCATGTGGACTCCAGATACCCGCGTTGTTACACTCCAAGTGACATTTAACTAAAGCTTCGTAGAGCGCCCTTAAAGCTGGGATATTATTGAACTGGTTCGCCTGACGTAACATAAAACCCAAATTACGTAATGTCTTCTTGCAGGCATCCATAATGTGTTTCCTAAAGTGTAACTCTGATACAAAATGAACTCTTAAATCTTTCACCTCCGTAAAGCGTAGCAACAGTTCACCTTCCATGCAGTATCGGTGGTGATGGGGACTGCTTAACGACAGAACAGCATTTGGCCACGTTGAAACACAACTTGAATTCCCGGCTCCACTCAGACTCTGACGATATCGTGTTGCAAACTAATACCTATAGTCGTCGTTATCTCGTATTTCGTGTAAGTATAAGTTTTAGATCATCGGCAAAAAGTAGGCATAACGACCCATTTATTATGCTTGGTGGGTCATTTATCATTAAATTAATTAGTAATGGACCTAAGTTACTGCCCTGGCTGATACCGAACCGGACCTCGTGTAATACGGCTCAGAATGATGCCCACCGCAGTCCACGTATTGACGCCTGTTTCTTAAATCATGTAAAAAATAATTTAAGAGTGAGGCGGTGAAATTATGTGGAAAATAATTTAAGAGTGTATAGCGTAAAGCCTATTCCAGCAAGAAGGACATCGTGATCAACTGTATCAAATGCGTTCGTCAGGTGTGCAAACAGATGGTTATAGATGATTGACTCGATAACCTTAGCTGGAGCACATAGGACTGCCACAGGGCTATAGTCGCTGGCTTCTTTACCTCCACCACCTTGTCGCGGAGAACCTAACGGGTTACCGGGGCTGCGGCGCGACGTGCAGGAGAAGAAACGGGGTGGTTTTTAGTCAGTAAGAGTCTGACACTCCCTCCCGCCTCACCCAGGTGGGAGCAGTCATTCGATGATGTACCCCCTTAAAAAAAATTCCTCTACCACCTTCCGGTGCCTACCGGTACGACACGAGTAAGTTTCCACGTATCAGGAAACCTCCCTTCCTCCAGAAAGATGTTAAATAAGCGTAGTAATGGTTCGACTAAAACCAAGCTACAATGCTTGAGGATAAAAGGTGGTATGACATCCGGCCCCACTGATCACTTAAGTGGTAGACGACCGAGAGCACGACTGACAGCCACCCGCTTCAGCGTGCCGCCCACACGACCTGTCGACCGGTTCTGTGCTATACATAGTTTGAAAGTATCGGGCATACCTACGCCTCAACGCACTCTCCCCTGTTAGCACCTGTCCTTCTTTTTAACATCATATATTCACCTGAGTTTCCCTTTTCTAGACGTATATAGTTCCAAAAACTTTTAGGGGTAAATATGTATTTACCCCTAATCTATGTAGATTAAGTAATTTCTCATCAACAAGCAGACTGCTGTTAGCCAGTTTTTTATCCAAATAGATACCGATAACTCAGTCTCACAAAATCTCTGGAACGGCTGGATGGATTTGGCTATTTTTTTAATTTATTTGTGGAAATTCAGGACAGGTTTAAGATATATCTAGTAGGAAATAACACACGGAATATTATAAACATTGTTTAATAAGCACTTTCCGACATATTGTAACATTTGTTTGTGTTAAATTAATACTCTCACATGACGATACAGGGGTGAACGATGGCCTACAACATTTTAAACAATGTTCATCATTTTAAATCAATTTCTTAAATTATATTAACATTTCATGACTAGTCTATGACATGAACATATTGCGTGGTTTGTGCAAAATTATAACAAAGCCTATCTATTTGATATTATTGAATAACTTTGTACAAATGTTGGTTATTTTTACATATTTTACAATGCGCTTTGGGCTAATATCAACCTTAACTAGTTTGTTATTAAGTAGTTTTTGTTGCCGCCAGTTTTTCATTAGGGATATTGTATTTTCAAGTCTAAATGAGGTAAGATTCGAGTACAATACAACATTAAAATTAGGCCGTAAGTAGTTTAAATATTAATGTAGTGTATAAATAATAAGAATAATTTAATTTATTAGATCTTATGCGTGTCACACGATTGTACACAATTCATTAAAATTTACGAGATAGTGGGCTCAGATTAATTGGTTTTACGGTTACAGTTAGTAGAATATAAAATGCAAATAACGGATATAAAACAAAATACTTTGATTATTTAAGTCACAATTTAAGCCCTATTCCATTGGAGTATCATGGTTGTACGACCAGTCTAGAAGCCGAGGTATCAAAGACAGCAGATCTTAATAACAATACTTTAGAACAATACTTGGGTTTATTTAGCCGCCGACAGAATACGACTAATAACTATCGTATGAAATATACAGCTTACTATTGTGAACTATTCTAGAAAAGCTTTTAAATTCAAACTCATTCATATTTTATATATTTATAGTTTCTTTTGCGCTACGACGCACCATGGGCTTTTTGTGTGTACCTGTATTTTTGTAGTGTGTCGTGTTTAAATTATTTTCCTTTCTTTCTTTCATATGAGTCCCGATCTGACACGAAACTGGTTGAGCTTTACTCGAATGGTTCACGTGTGTAAGCTAATATGTTTCTATCCTATACGACTGTATAGATCTTGTGGTTGGACAGCCATGGCATCTTTATGAAAAAGGACTCTAAATACAAACGCACACTTACCACTACATTTTTGAATATAAATACAATTGAATATATTACGCCCATCCCCTCAAGAATGGGGAAGTCTTATTGCTTAGTAAATAAATTAGTTGGACGCGTTACTCACGGTAGACATCCATTTATAAAACCTTAGAACTAGACCCAAGCGCGCTTGGTGAGAACTGGCCATGAACTTGAAGCATTCAGTTTTGAATATAGTTAACATTTAAACTAGAGATAACTCTGTTATTAAACCTTTTTGAGCATAAAAAAGCATGACTTTTCATTTTTATGTAGTTAAATATTTTTTATAGATGTGTATCATGTTCATCCTTATGATATGTGTGAATTCAGAGCTTTAAACTAAATGAGATTTGTTCAATTAAAATTTTCCATTTAATCTTTACATAGAAATATCATTAACACGTTACAAAAACACAAATATACTCAAAAACATAAAGACAACTATTTAAACAAAAAACATATAAACAATATGACCAGAATTATCTATAATTTAAACATTAACTATATTCAACGTACACGAACGCTCAAGTACAGGAAGAGCAGGCCAAGTCTTCAGAGCTCGTCATCAAAGTGCTCCCCCATCAGGTCGCTGCCGTAGTCCGTGGCCTCACTGCCCACGAACACGTCGTGATGCTGCAGGATCTCTTCGAAGGAGAGCAGGTCGTCGTGGTCATCATCAGCTGACGCGAACAGGTGGTCTACTTCCTCGTCAGCTATTTCCCTGAAGAGAGAATAAACAATAGGTAGATAAGTATGGGAGAGCCATGTCATGCACGAATTGGCCGGCTCGACTGGAGTGATACTACGGCCAAGCAGTAAACCGACGTGAAACAACGCTTATGTTTTGTTTCGTCGTGTGAGTGAGGTTAAACCCCATTCCTAATCCCCCAAAAGGCCGGTAACCCAACCACACCCTCTGGAGTGCGGGTGTCTATGGGTAGCGCAGATCGCTTGCCGATTTGATCCAAATGCTCAGTTACCATAAAGAAAAGATAATAAAAAATAATAATTCATTCATAGCTTAAATCGGCTGATCTGGAGATCATTGGATTTGACTTTAGCTCTGTGATCAGAAGTGGATGTCTTATGGCTGATATAATGATAAGTCTGACGGTTGTTCTCAAATATTACACTTAATATGTGCCCTTTACTTCTTTAGTTTAAAACCTTAATAGGAGTAATAATAATACATTCTAACAGTGGCGTGCAGTCCATATAGGCAAAAAGGCTTTGCTTGACATAAAATGTACAAACGCGTTTATTAAGATTCAATAATAAAATAAAAGTTTGTAAAAAAACGGCTAACATAAATATACATTCACATATACTATACACGGACCGCACGCCTTTGTAAAGCAATGAATGCGCCCCGCACGCACCACGCATGCGCTACTATTCCTTAAATCTTGGTTGTTGGTTGTGACGTCACAAAAAGTATGCAACGCGCATGCGTGAAGGTCACGTGACTATGGTCACAGCAGAGAATAACCATTCATAAACGCAAAAAAGTCATTGCTGCCGGCCTTTGAAATTTATGAATCTGCGCCATCTATTGAATTTTTTGTTAAAACTTCTGAACACGTTCGATATAATGCGAATGTCTTTTTATAATTATGCATACTAAAAAAATATGTTTCAGGTATTTTAATTAAATCTTAACATTTTTACGCGTTGTCGGTTTACAGAAACTTTAAACGAGGAGTTGACTTTATTATTTTAAAAGTAAAAAGGAATAACTTTTGAGTAGCGGCAACTTGACGTTTTGATAACTCAAAGTTTCAAATTGTTATCAACGAATGTTTCTTATTGGAAAATAATAATAAGACAATGACGGAACTCCATTTGACTTATGTAAATTAACGTTTTGTTTTTTTATAATTAAACACTGGGTTGCCTTAATGTTATAGCTATAATTTTTTTATAATAAACACTCAATTGACTACGATGGGTTCATTCATTCCAATGTTTTCGGCCATATTGTTTTCATGTGATGTGCGATCGCTTTGTTTATGTTTTCGTTTAAATTATAAGGAATTAGTTTTAAACATAAAGTTGCATAAATATGTGTAGAAGTAGTTAAATGTATGTGTAGGTTTTTCAAATAGTGTATTTGTTTATCAGTGTCTAGTACAAGTACCTATATTATTCGATTGTGAAGTTTGTGTTGATAATAGATAATTTTTTGTGTTTGTTGAAAGTTAAAAACAGTAAGTTTTCGCAAAAATGTGTCCTACAACGACTAGATTCAGGTAATGACCATAGGCAGTACTCAAGTTACGAGAATTGACCCAAGTCAAAGGTAGGTAATGTAAATATTATGTACTTTAATGGATCTTTTATTGATTTTCTTGTTTGATAATTCTTAAAAATATCAACTTAGACTTCGGGTTGTACTGATTTACATATTAATTTATTATTAATAATTATGTAATGTAATAACAAATGTACCGCTTATAAATACTCGGCTCGGCCACAGCCGGCCGCGCTTGTTATTGTTTTGTTTGTTGGTAGGTACCTACGTTCTTAAATTCGTAATATAATATAATATAATATTATTATGATTTTGAATAGATTATCTAGCAATTCGATAATTGAATTTGGTTCATCAAATTTATGCTTCATTATTAGTATAATTAATAGATGTTCAATTATTTGTAAGTTTTGTTGGCTTATTCCATAGCTGATGAAGTAGTTCACAAAAAATACGCGAGATGTCAGTGTATGTAATTTGGCGACAGAATAAACCACAATATTCTTGAACGCACTTTTCAAAATGTATTCTGTACATGTAGGTACCTGTCTTGTGTGAGTATGATTGTCATTGTATGACCGGGGGGGGAGGGGTTTAATCATACGATATTTAATTGCCTACCCTGTCTAGAAAACCTGTGCACGCCACTGCATTCTAATCAAACTATTATTATAGCGATATGAGAACGAACAAAACTATAATAATAATAATAACACACTGTTCTAATCTGGCACGGACATGGTACGATTAGAAATGGGTGTAAACTTGCAAATTATTTCACTGTCGCGCCGATAAGGATTGTATAAGAGAAAACTTAGTGGTACAGTTTTATTTTGTAACACTATTTCAAATGAAGATATTTAGTCTTACGTCTGAATGTGATAATGAGAACTAAGTCGTGGGTGTCTTTACAAACATACAAATCATACACTTGAAGTAAAGAAACAGAGCCACATGCGTTTATTTTTTCATTTTATCGAACCTTCTATAGTTTAAAAAACAATTATTCGGTTTGTACCACAAAATGTTCAATTTTTAACGTATTATGTTACCAATTACGTAATAAAATATTTGTATCAGAAGTTATTTATCGAGAATTAAAAAACAAAAGATTGCTTCGTTGGCCGCGTGGTCGCAAGTGCGACTGCCGAGAAAGAGGTCTCGGGATCGATTCCAGGGTCGGGCAAAGTATAACAAAGTTCTGACAAAGAGTCTGGAATTGTGCTAGGTATATGGCTATAGACTCACCCTCTATTACATGGGACTCATAACATTAGTGAAAAGTGGGTGTTATTGTACAGTGGCATTGAGTGCCGTAATGTGCACCTCTGCCTACCCCTTCGAGGCTAAAAGACGTGATGTTCTGTTATGTTGAAAAACAAAAACCTAGTGGTTCCGTTTCTGTGCTCCCAGGTGTAGTTATTCCTTGCTATATTTGGGGTTTCTATGTTATCTATGTCCAGATGATGTCTTGTGGATGATATGATGATGAGTGTTTATATTCCTTTAACAAAGTAAAGTAAAGCGAGTGATCATCATGTTAGCCACAAGATGTTTACTGCTGGACTTAGGCCTCCCCCAATGGGTTCCAGATAGGTCAGTGACCTGACTTCAGCGGTTCCCTGCGACCCTAATCTGGGGCCTTAGTCTGCTATTACGATTGTGTCAGAATGGTCGATCATTGAGCAGTGCAAGAGGGACAGAGCTATACTACTTAATACAGTATTGCATAGCAGATTCGGGCCCCTGATCTTCTGCCCGCTTTGTGGGACGTTCATGGCCTCTATTCAAGAACCTTTCTACCTCATCAGCCGCCAGTTCTACGTTATATACAAGTTAAAGATAACTTACTCATTATCAGGTATGATCCAGCTGTGCATCTCCTGGAGGTCGATGATGCCATCCTTGTTCAGATCCAGGTCGTTGTCGAACTTGTCCTTCTCTGATATCAGCCATACTTTGTCCTGCTGGCTGCCTGTAGACAATAGTGATCAAAATTATTATTTCGCATAATAATACTATGCATTTACAACTTCCATGACTTAAAATATATTTATACTTATTACACTAATATATTAGAAATGTGAAATTTCTTTGTTTGGGTGTTTGTCCGTCTATCACGTTGAAACTACTGAACGGATTTTGATGAATTACGGTATACAGGCAAGGTATGGGCTGCCTTAGGTGATAGGAAAAAGTCACATTAGTACATGCTTTTGGTAGGCTTAGAACTTGTATCCTCATGCATGAGAAGCGGGCGTCTTAAACCTCCAGGCCATCATGACACCTCGACAAGAGCCGATTAGAGTGGGTAAAATTGCACGGGCGTATTAATGGATTTGGTGCCTACACACGTAATAAATTGTTATAAGTAATTCTTTCGGATTATGGACCTGGATCGTGGATTGAATATAGTCGAGCTCATGTAACTTCATTGAACAGTTTTGTGAGTAAGTTCCATCGTGCGAGATCTTAGTTCTAAAGCGGAACAATTAACAATTAGTTTGTGCATAGCAAAACGGTGTCAACTGGCGAGACTATTTAATTGAGGGAATCATTGAATTTGTGTCAGTGTATCAAGTAGCATGCACAATTAATCTGCCACTGATTAATTAATTCATTACCGACGAGGCATAATAAACAATCTGTTTGTAGATTTTGCTACAACATAATTATGAAATTTTATTTGTGTATGGATTTAAAAAAAAGTTACCTATGTATATACGTATATGTTTATTTGTTACAAGCTCTTAAGTAAAAAATAAAAAAGATAATCACAATGAGGTAATAATAATAATTATAGGTGCTAGGTATAATAATAATTATAGGTATTTTTTGCAATCAGCGCTCATATCATCTTACAGTCAGTTACTGTAATAGCATTTTCTGCCGTTGTGACTGATTAAAAAATAAATAAATCTTTTTTGCTGGAGAAAAAATTTTAAGCTAAAAGGGCCACAGCTATACATAGATTGACATTATTACTATATTACTTTGTGCGTCCCAGAAGTCGAACCCGAGATCTCTTCCTCAACAGCCGGATTAACACGCGATCTACTAATAAATCGATTGTATTTGTGCTCATAGACTCATAGCAAGTTATTTAGTGAAACGTTATTGAACGCATTGTTCATGAGGTTAAAGTGTACAAACAAAGAACAATACTACTTTGTTTATGTTTTTTAAAAGAACAAAAGAACTTGTTTGTTTTTAACGCGTATGCACTTTTATTTGTAAAGATAGATAAGCTAATAGTTTATTGAGAAAACATTAGAATAAATCTTTAATAAATATTATCTCTGTAGTTTAACTAAAAATCGTTGTCACGTGAATATATACTGAGAAAAGAGGGGTTCTTCTTCATGATCAGCGTGCGTGGTCGCGGCGATGTCGCGCGGCCAACTCTGTGGTTCGAAATTAGTAGAGCTTTTCTCAGTATATTCACGCGAGTAACCCGCGATTTTGAGTTAATTACAGTCTCAGGATAGTTATTATAAAAACATCTCTGTAGTTGTTTAAATTTTCTAAAAAAAGTCTATGGTACTTTAGCTCACTCGGGCATGGTATTTAGCACTCGACGAACTAAGCAGTCAATCACAACTATTTCCTACTCATGCTCTTCGAGCCGGAGCCCCGGCAACCCCTTATGTCCTCTGCGGCTCCGTAGGGGCATCAGCCCCATCCGTGGTGGTCTGATGGCACTTTGAGGCGCGCACAGAATACGACGCCTGTTAATAGTACTAGGACCCGTTTTTTGTACTTTCCAGTCCAGGCATGAAGAAGTCATATTTGAAAAACTAATTAATGTGTTTAATAAATAATTATTGCTATTATAACGACATTTGACCTCAAAGGTGGGCGTCGCGACACAAAAAAACATATATGCAATCAAATATAAACCTTATCTAATTCAGATTATAGTTGGCATTCGTAATTGAATACAAATGTATGCATTATCAAGCTAATTTTAATCTTATTTGAATCTAGTTAAGGTTGAATTTGTGTTTCAGAGTAAGTTGATACTGTCCAGTGCATAATGACCACTGTCGGGTTTAGATAACGTGTTATTGACATGGTGCAGAGATTATCAAATATTTTATAATGGAGGAGTCAACAATTACGTAATTAATGGACGGTACTTTATTAAAGATCAGGAATTAAAGTCGCTTAATTAAAATAATCAAAAATTGTTATTAAGAAAATTTCTCAAAGACGACAATTTCAATAAAGCTTTGCGCAACTTTTAAGCCAAGCAGTCACAATGAAATCAATCAAAATGACAAAAAAATAAACTCGTTTGAAAACTAATTGAACTTAAGACCCCATGTTGCAGTCACAGAGAGGCAGATAAATAAATTATGTCGAAATACTCAAACGTTACTCAATTTTAAGTCGCGCCTCAAATTAGTTGTCTCTACAAATTCTTTGTAAAATGACAGAGATGCCACGATATTAAAGTACCTACAACTAACAATTGAATAGCCTTTCAGTATTCCGGCGCTAGTCAATCAGAAAAAGTAGAACTTATTATTTCCTGTATTCACGTACCTCTCTCGCCAATGTACTCGTTGAAGTCTATACTGCCATCCTTGTTGAGATCCTTCTCTCTGAGAGTCTGGTTGATGAGGAACTGGTGCATCTCCTTGTGCTCCTCCGGGTTTGTGAACACCTTGGTGTGAAAAACATGATGTCAGTGAAGGAATTTTAACGGTAACCTACCTCACAGGGACATATTTTTTATTGTGTGATTTGGAGTACTCACTTGGAACTCGTTCAGCTCCAGCTTGCCGTCGTTGTTGGCATCCGCTGCAGCCCACATTGCTTTCTCCTCTCGCAATATCTGAAACCAAACAAAAAAACATCAGTTACTCAAAACTGAAACTATTCAATCAAAGTTCCTGCTTCCTCAATCTCTGCTCCAGCAATACCTATAATCTCAGCTATAAATATTTTACCATACCTATCTTGTTGACAGTACACACCAAATGGTTTTGTATTTGATTGCTAAATCGATTTTATTTACCAGGTTTATCAGTTTATTTATAGGCTTTCAATTTTTAGTCTTAGTTTAGCAGCAGCAGATTCTTTACATGGGAAATAACTTAAGAGGTCTAAAGTAGGCTTTTATTACGGGTACTAAAGTCCCATTGGGAAAAATAATATTATTACCAATTTCGCATAAAGATATTTTATATCTAAGTAGTACATACCAGTCCAGAATCACCCGTGTCCTCAGGGCCCACTTCATCCTCAGACTCCACTCCGAAGGCATCGTGTAAGTACTCGTTCCACGTCACTGCACCGTCATGGTCCTCATCAGCTTCCAGTAAACGCTCTTGAGCCTCTTCCCGCGATAAATTGCTGATCATAGAGAAAGAAAAATTTTGATATTCTAACCAACTTCATTTCTACCTATCAAGTGCAGCAGCAATTAAGTATGGAAGAGCCATGCTTCGGCACAAATGGGCCGGCTCGACCGGAGTGATATCAGGGCCAAGCAGAAAACTGACGTGAAGCAACGCTTGCGTTGTGTTCCGTCATGTAAGTGAAGTTACCGGAGGCCTAGTACACCCCCCCCCTCACAATAACGTAATCAATCAATACATAGTATAAAACAAAGTCGCTTTCGCTGTATGTCCGTATGTATGCTTAGATCTTTAAAACTACGCAACGGATTTTGATGCGGTTTTTTTTAATAGATAGAGTGATTCTTAAGGAAGGTTTGTATGTATAATACATGCATATTGCACCCGTGCGAAGCCGGGGCGGGTCGCTAGTATAAAATAAAATCATGTTAGTTACACTTTTTATAAAATCGATTTGACTGAAAATGAGTAAAAAGTAGCTTAGAACCAGGAGGCGGACATAGGATATTTTTTATTCAAGGATTCCTTAAGGATCCTAAGAGTACGTGAAAAACGGGATTGCGCGTACAGGACGCGGGGAGAAGCTAGTGTAACATAATAATAGTTACAATACAAATAAGCGAATTATTTTCTTTGGCTGTATAATCACTCAGTGTTGTGATCACTCTACAAGTCCACACTACCGATAGCACCAATAATGCGTGAAAATTAGAATAACTTAAACCTGAGTTTAAAACATTTGTAAAATAAATTGAAACCTATATGAATTGCATTATTATTAATTCAAGGTTACACCAACTGAATTTTATTTAGAACTTTAGCTTTAACGACCAATGTACAACTGGCATACATAATTAAATTATGTACGTACTTCAATGGACAAACTACTAAATTATAATTGAAACATTCACTAATAGGTATACAGAAATACAATATTTGTACATATTGAACTAGCCTTACCAGCAGCTTTACCCACATGACTAAACCTATATCCTATCCATTATCCTAAATACATGTTTATGCATGTTTTGTCTATAAAAGATGGACAAATGAACAGACACTTACACTTTCCCGTCTATATGTATACATATAAAACTCGTACGAAAGAGAAAACTGTAATTAAATATTTTTTTAAAGAATACTTGAGGTCATGATCTACATTTAATACCGAAGCCAAATATACGGATTTTAGAAATGATGTATGTTTGTCTGTATGTATGTCCGGGATAAACTCCAAAAGTACTGCATGAATTTACCTAAAATTTTGAATGAGTATTAGTAACAGGTCGGGTCAACATCTGGGGTTCATACCACTATCACCTTCGGGGGAGGTGCTGTGAATCGCTATTCCACATGGACAAAGTCGGGGTCTCAGTTAGTTTATAACATTAGTATGGATATTTATCATATTATTAAACACCTATAGGTGATTGATCATTCAAAGTTTATCTTGAATTTAATATAAGGAGTTCAAATCTGTTAGCCTAGTAATAAATTGGATCAAACGGTATGGCTGTTTTGTCTCGATAACAGATTCTAACTATGCTTATGCTTCAAATAATACAAGAGTTGACCTGCTAATCATCAAATGAATGGTATGAATATTTTATTCTTTTTTCTTTATTACACAATATTTAAATATGAAACGATTATCAATTTGGTCATTATAATGCAGTGTAAATGTATTAGAATAACATTTAAGGGTTGGTTAATAATTAAGTGCATTTTGAAAGAATATGCAAACCACTAGTTATTATGAGTATAATTCAATCGAAAGATGAGCCTATTGCTGTGTAATAAACTTCATAATTATTATTGCTGTTACTGAGAATTAAATAAAATACAATCTACTAAATATTATAATTATTCTGTTTGAAATTCAAATAAATTAGGTTAGTAACTTACTGAATAGTTTACAAAAACATTTGCCCACATAGTTGCGTGGGCAGTTTGATCAGCTGAATATACAGTTGTATTTTCAGCTGATCAAACTTATTTGCCAACTGTTTCAATGACATAAATTTGAAATTAGTTTAAATTTTTTATGGATAATGTATTGTGAAATATCTGTTCCAATGTACATCAATAAGGTAGGCTTTAATTAGAATGTTTATGAACCATAATACATAGTCAACCAAACCAGAAATTACCCATTAACAAAGTATTTATTGTCCTTTTATTAGATTTTGATTAGAGATCATAATTACGGTACTCTTATAAAACGTCAATTAATTAAAAATAATTGTTCACAATATTTTAAAATAGGATTAATATTTGGTAATGTGACCATGTGTGTGTTATGGTTATTTCATTGATATCATGCAGTGTTCGGCATGTGGGATTCCATAAGGTAACAAATTAAAGATAGTTTTATTTATCTTATACATGCAGGTTCAACAATATGGGTTATATATAACCTAATAAGAGTACAAGTTTAAAGATTAGGAAAAGAAAAAAACAACTTACATGAATGATTTCAAGATCCACTTTTTAAGTTCCAGCCGGTCTATGTGCTCGTCTCCATTTAGGTCCATTTTGGGCAGCAGTAGCCCGAGTCGTCGCTTCGACTCATCGGGGCTCAGCTTGTCGAACTCCTCGGCCTCCCGCACGCTACCTTTAGAGAAGTAGTACGTTATAGCCATAGCTATCGGCACCAAAATAAACAAAGTGTTCCTAACCGACATCTCGGCACGCACCGACCGCTATCGCATTTCTTATCAACTGAGCAAGCTGTTGCAAAATCTAGCGAGCCAGCGGCCGGTCGACGTCATAAAAAAAGTAGTAAAATAAGTAATGATACCTAGAATGGCCTCGTGGTCGAACTCTGAGTTGTGTCCGGAGTCGCCGTAGTGCTCGTAATCCCTCGCTCGGAAGCTCCCGTCCGTCTCCCGCTCCAGATTGTCGATGCTGTGCCCGTGCACCGCCGCGGAGCCACAATACAACGACATGTTGTAAGTCAAAAGAACACACAACAAGTATTTTAAAGCCATTTTAATGCACTCTGCTACAATTTTATCTTAGTCTTATTGTTATTCAAATTTCATTATATTATATTGTTTATTTTTAAAAATAACATTGACGGAGCCAAAGAATTATCACAATTTTGATTATTACATGACACTTTGACTGTGACGGTGTTGCCATTGGACATTAGTTTTAAAAAAGTACTTTTAAAAATAAACATTAAAGTTCTTGTAACCTGTAAATTACAATAACTGTGTTTTTAATTTATATTTTAATTGAACAACTGTTAAAGAAACAATCAGCTTTCTAATTATTGTAATTTGGTCACTAAAGTCCATACTTATAGTTGGCAACTGATTAGTAACTAATCGGGGTACAGATAGTGTTTTGGATCGGGACTGGGAATGCTGATGGCCTTGGGAAGTGACGAATGAAAAGATCCATGATCTATTGAATTAATACCATACATGAGGATACTCAGATTTCATGGGTGTTTATTATCCGACATACCGATGTTCTGTCACGTTTCGAAATGTGAACAGCGTGATATCCATTGCTGATAGATTGGGCAGTTGAACTCAATATAGGTATGCGTGCGTTAGGTATTAAAAGAGCAATTTATCTTGAAGATATTTATTTTTGTTTTCAAAATACAATATAGTACAAAAAATATAAGTAGGTAAATACCTAAGTTGATCACAAGTTCACATTTGACTCTTCTAGAATCAAACGTAAGTAGGTAGAACCATGAGGAAGTCATACAATGTTCAAAGGTTTATAAGTTTATAGTTAGCCGTTCCCAATAGCAATAGGCTGGGTCTCTTGTGACTCTTTGACTTAAACCAAACCCAATCATCACCTGGCAACGCATTTGTATTTTGTAGGTACCCTCTTGTGTTACGGATGATACGTCTACTCGTTTTTCGCAATACTTACAAGGGGTAAGTATTGCGAAAAACGAGTAGACGTATTATTAAAGCAGAAATAATTTTATAATGAAATAGGTAACCCGCGAACTATGTTTGTCCTTGAAAAGTTTTCAGTGCATCTTTGTTCATTTTTACTTACGTAAGAACCTTCTCCTAACCATAACGAAACGAAACAAAAAAGAATAACTTAGTGAGATTGGTTCAGCTGTTCTCGAGGTTTGCGTTTAGCAACACATTTAGACATTAATTTTTCTATTATTAGATATAGCCACATAACAACACATCTTTTACTCCCCAAAGGGATAGCAAAGGCGGGTTACACAGCGAAATTGTTGCATAGATAGGTCAGTTATTCGACAGTTTGACGTTATTTTCGTAATTATCGTGACTTAAAAAGCAATCTTCTTCAAAAACAAAACATGTGGTTCTCATTAACCAACTTCAAAAAAAGAAAAGAATTATTTAATGATTCCACTAGGATTTCACTTAAACACATTATCTATAAAACCACCAATAATTGTTATATGCCAATTTGTGTCTTTGATTTGTTTTATATTTACGTTTAAGGGCCTATTTTTCAATCAATAGTTAATTCTTAACTTGGTGAAGTTATAGAAGGTAAGTAGGTAATAAGGCATAGAAAGTCAAACTGGATATCATGGCCGACAAAATATCAATATGTAACGTTACGTCACGTCTCCTGCGTTTATTTTAATAAATTATTAGCTGCCATCACTATCATGGTGATTCTTCTGCTAGCAATATGGTTCGGGTATGCGACCAGAAACTTCGACAAGTGCTTTCGAACCTCGCCGACCACGAGAGGCAGATGTGTTCGCGTGTCCTGGTTGGCCATATCCAAGTTAATTATTGCATCTTCTAAAAATCTGAAAAAATATTAGGTTTAAGTACATTTTTAACTCTTCTCTCTACTTGATTAATCTCATATTCGAATGTGCGACAAGAGTAAATAAAGTAACACTTTAAAAATGACATGTCCTTATGTATTTAGGTTTATAATCCTTACCTGCATTTGAGCTGAGTTTCATGCAACATATCAGTGGCTAGTTGCTGCACTAGTGACATCAGGACATGCTGCTTTAGACTGCAGGGTGCTGCGAACACTTGGCCAGGATCCACGGCTCGACAGGCCACCATCACCAGTGACAGGTCGCCGGCAGAGAGCGCCCGCTCGAACGAACCGTTCACATCACCATCTTCGATCAGTTTATTAACTAGCGCTGCTTCCATCTATTCAAAAGTTTAAAATGTGTCAATTAAGCTAGCACCACTGTAGTAGATAGTAATTTTTCTGTCATATCCTTACCAACTGGTCGACGACCGAGACGTCTCGGCCAGCCGGTTGTGGTGGCGTGATCGGTTCGAAGTCCACGGAGTCCGGGAGTCCATCAGACACGTTACTCTCAAGTGGCTCCGAGTGGAAGTGGCTTGACAACAAGTCTGTCACCTTTACACGCCAATCTTTCAACTCTTTTTGAAGTAGTCTGTTGAAATTAAACTCGATTTTATTACTAAAATCGAGGTCTATTACTAGACTATTATTGCGCAATATGTCGCGGGATCGATTCCTGCATGGAACAATTATTTTTGTGGTCCACAATTAATAATATAATGATTTGCAGCAATAGGATACATTTTAAAAGACTACGTAGCAATAATATTAAAATCTCTCGACTCTAACAATCGGTGGAGTATGCGATTTAACATTAAAACTAGGTATAGGTAAGTATGTACATTCGCGCCCATCACTACATAGTATAAAACAAAGTCGCTATCCACCGTCTGTCTGTCCCTATGTATGCTTAGATCTTTAAAACTCCGCAACGGATTTTGATGCGGTTATTTTTAATAGATAGAGTGATTCAGAAAGGTTTATAATTAGGTACAATTATGTATAATTCATGCATATTGCACCCGTGCGAAGCCGTGGCGGTTCGGTAGTGTATAATAAGATAAATAAACCGAGTAACATACTCCTCAACGGCACACTGCAGTGTGTTGATCATGTTGTGTCCAGGGTTGGAGGTGGCCTCCAGCAGACATTGGTGGCGCTCCAGCGCGCGTCGCAGGGCTCCAGACGTTTTGTAAACCGACTTGAACAGCGATGAAGACCTGTCCTCCACTGAATTGGGGAAATTAAAAAAAAAACGTAAGGTATGAGGTACTGCCACGTCTGCCGAGAAATTTAATTATCATGGGATCTGAAATTGGGTCGATTGTATGGCAACTTATATTAATTTTTCAAGTTTCTATTATTTTTCAAGTTTTATTGGTTATTAAAACCAAAGCATTTTGCAATATCGTAAAACAACTACGTGTGGTGTGGTTTGTGATAAGGGACGGTGGCGCCGGCGCCTGTTGAAAATAAATTTTAACCAATGGAAAATCACAGTTTCCAAGCGTAGCGATAGGGGCAAATCTACTTATGTAGAGGATGTCTATATTCCAGTAGTGGACTCACACAACATAGGTATTTAATTAATATGATGATGACAATTTGACAATGAAAGCAATAGTTTTCCGTTGTTCTTCAAAGCTTATGAAACCATTCCCGATTAAAAATGTTTTGTATTGCATCAGTGGTTTCTAAACCTAGCTAAACTTAGCCTACCTACTGATAGTTATATCGCAATAGGACGAAATAATGTTGCCTGTCTCCAATTGCGGTGATTCTCACACACCTCTTTCGCTTCATCAACATTCATGCATGCTCGTCTGTCAACTCACGTTCAATAAACGCCTGTTCCACAATCATATGAATATGTGCGATAAGTCTGCGGTGTGACCTCTCGAGGACGGGCAGGTACAGCTTGGACATGTCCCGGCTGAAGCAGCCTCCTATCAGGCCGCGGACTGACTCCGCGGTAGCTCGAACCATCTGTTCTTTCAGTTCCTGTAATAAAAAAATCTTAAACGTCCAGGTTCGCGTCCAGGTCGCAATGCGTTCTACATTACCTACCCAGTTACCTAACTGCAGTGCCGTTCAGAGTCCAGACATTTCTGTATTAGGAAGAATTTCGAAAAAGAATTAAAATATCTTAAGTTACGCCTAGTGCTCTTAATACTTATATTTTTTGTGAAATCGGGGTTCCCTAAGCGGTCAGTGTCTCCTATGGACACCCACTACACCAGAAAAATAATAAAAAAGAGGCCAGCTTTGTTCATTGTAGGTGTTTTATAGGTAGGTACCTCACTCTGCAGGAATTTGATAAGGCTGGCTCTGATCTCGCTGTCCAATGACATCTCCTTCCTGGCCTCGATGGCGTCCAGCAATGTCTTGGCGCGGCTGTTCACTGTGCTATCATCATCTTTGCTGCACTCCTCGACACTCACCGCTCCAACTCTGTTAGTAGGTAAGTGGTAGATAGAAGACTTGTTCTTGTATTAGTAAACCAACGTCTTAATAAACGTAAACCTCACTCTTCATTCTCCATGGTTATATATACGAGTTTCTTGAAATAAATTTTGGGAATTGAATCCGAGACCTCAGCTCACTCAATTGTAAGACTCTACTACCTAGGCAGTCATTTTTACTTGTGGTAGAAACCTACGTAGATAGGTACCTACCAAAGTACCAACCTATTTGTGTCACCCAAATCCAGCAAAGAACGATAATTACGTAATTTAATTGATTTACATAAGCCAAGTGCCTATATAGGGCTCCAAGTTAAAAAAGGGCACCGTGAGGCGCGCGTGCCCAAATGCTCATATGGCATGACAGGCGGAGGCGCCAAAAAATTTGGGACGCCTATAAAGTACTTGCCTCAGCCTAGAACACTCTCTAGGTTTAATACGCTTTTGCCTACTTAGTAATCATAATTTAATCAAATGCTTATTAATCAAAACACCTCTGCGCGATAGCCTTCTTCAATATATCGACAAATATTTGGTTGTGGGTGAGTTCTGTCTTCTCGAGCATCAGCTTGGAGCTCCGGATCTCCTCCTTCATTGCGGTCAGCAGCCGGCATTGTTCCAGGAACATATCTAGCAGATTCAAGAGCATTTTTATCACTTGACTTTAGACACTAAGTAGGTACTTACTAGGTCCTATAGAGGTATTTTAGAATATGTTTTTTAGACCCTATATAGAAATAAATGCTGGTACACAAAAGAAGTGTTATATAGTGCTACATATTCTATGTAGGTATTGTACCTACGAAGTAATGTAGTTTGAAGCAAGTTGCTAAATAAACTTTAGTCGTGGTCATAGACTTAAATTAGTCCAAACTTAGCTAATACTATCTTAATAGACTTAATAATGAGAACGTTAATTAAAACTATCCTTATGAATCTATTTATACCTATCGATTGGTGGAAACCACAACTAAATTCATTAAATTGAAAGGCTAGTAGTAGTACCTAGTAGTCAAGTATATCATGAACTGATAATAAAGTTTAACAAAACTCACCACTTAACCGATCAATCTTCTGTTCCATCACAACGAGCATGTCATTATTGATCATGCGATCAGATATACCAGTGTCAATAAGACGTTCATGATGATCACAACGCATTGAGTCTAATATACCGCTGTCCATCAGGCGCCCATGATCGCAGTGCATGCACAGTTCCACTGAAGAGTCACTATATGTGCGATGGACTGTATCTGCCTTGTAAATCATCAGGTCTATGCCATTGTCTTCACTTGTTAATGAGTTTAGGGACTGACATCTTCGACGTTTAGGGCGGTCGGTAATATTTTGAAGTTGGTTTTGTTCCATGATGGCACTAGACGGCGCAATATTTTCTTTGTGCATGTATTGAGATTTGATAGTTGATCAGGGGGTATGTTGATTTTTGTTGCATGAACTTTGTTTCTGTACACCATCATTTCTTTATTTTGTTTGTGGTTTCGTTTAGCTTAAAGTTGAATCATAACTTATTTACATTATAAACAGCCCTGGCTTGTTTTGTTTCAGAATTATTATTTAACGATTACATTTTTTTAAAGCTATTTTCCAAGTTCTATCATTATAAAAAACTTGATTTTATGAGACTGTCAAGAAAACTATGGAAGTAGAAATGGACCACGGTTCTCAAAGTAAAGAAAAGTAAATAAATGCTACAAGTATAATTTAAAATTTTCCTAATAAGTAGGTTGGATGAACCATTTTTGCACAACATATTTTAAATTAGGTTCAATAAGTTTTAAATGTCATGGCGTTTAGATAGTTTTCCTTTTGCACATAATTTTAGACCAGGGACAGGGTAAATACAGGAATAAAATCAGGTAAATAATACAAATCAAATACACATTTATTGATATAATGTATTTCTTAGAGTAATACTATCAATGTCAGAGGCATACATAAAGCGCCGACAAAAATAATTTTATAAAAAAACAACAACACAGGACTCATCACTCACGTATTTACGAATTTCCGATACATAAACACCAATAATATAGTCAAGGGTACAAGTCATATAAATTGAAATCAAGAAACTGAAATAAAAAAGTCATAAGTAATAAAGTTTATAATTAAATGTCGATTAACCGAGTCCGGTTACGAGTCTTACTACTCTAATTAATTTAGATCGCAATCAAGTGACATTTTTGTCGTGCAATCACAATAATCAAGTACAGAAAAGTTTAGAAACTATCAACTAAATATTTACATACGAATTAATCATCAATGCGATATCCTTCTATATAGCGAGGAGTCTGAACATATTTCAGCAACAATACCCTTCCTACAGTGGGGTACAAACAGCTCATAAGCCGTTAAGTAATATACACAAAAAGGATATGACATAAACATTATAAAGATGTAAAAACGCGCAACTTCTCATAAAACGTTCAACATTTCATGAGAAATAAACTCCCAAATACTCAAACGACACTCAGTTTTATTTGCCTTTATACGTTTTGAGTGTCACTTGAATAGTCGGGAATGTGACGAGTCCACACATACACAAGTCTACCGTACACTATGAAAATTAAATAGCTTTAACAATAAGCGGTAGTAAGGCTTTGGTCGCCGGGGTGCTATAGATTTAGACGCAAGATCATGTATGACTCACAAACATACATTTGTTCATACATACACAATTACAGTCGCATAGAAAATCTTCGTACACTTTTCATTTCACTCATATAAAACTAGACTAGCATATGTTTAAGTATAATATCTTAGTTATTTTACAGTCTAGTACCACTCGAGGGAGATATCACCGAATATGTCGGCTATTTATTCCCAGGGCTATTAAAACTCGTTAAAGCAGTTTCAATGCCCTAAAGTCCAAATCTATAGCAACATTATTGACATAAGGTTTCATGTAACGCCTTTAATTCTCGGTAGGGGATGGGAAAGCGTATAGATTTTCACAACTTTGTTTCTTTATGGTCCTCTTAATGAAGTCTGGGGTTTGGGAAATTGGGGATTTAAGGATTGGAAATGGGGATGTAAAAGGGAGGGGTGAGAATTGGGAATAGGGTACCCTCACTCACACGACGAAAAACAACGACATCGTTGTCTCACGCCAGTTTTCTGTGAGGCCATTTCGGAAGCATGGAAATCTTACAATTAGACTCCAGGCTTACATTTAGTTGACCAAATGGCACGAGAGAGGCAGGCGATTTGAAAGCTCCACTTCAATACCTCTAACTTATCTACAATTTTCAGGGGCTAGAAGTCCCAGTCAGTGCCAGTCTAGCGAGAACCTACAATCATATAAATGAGATGTCTCAAGTAAAAAAGATTGTTTAAATCATATGTCATGTTAATGATGTTTAGAGGCAACTTTCATATTATTTAAGGCGAATTTATCTCATTTTTTTCCGTTTGTCACACACTTATTGAAACCAAATGTCTACCGGCTAACTCAGTACTTATTCATAGCCTAAGTGCTTACTACTTAATTAATGTATAATGAGGTTCCCGTATTTGTACACGTATAATATTACTGAGTAATTATAATCATAGGCAATCATCATTAAATTGCGACAGTCTTACATGACAATCATTAAAAACTACTCACTATTTTCGTAATTGTTTTCCGGTCATGATTTAGTTTTACAGATTATAAATATTGGGAAATGGCGGGAAATTTTGACGTTTACGAGTTCACGTCAATTTGACATTTGTAATCGGAATGACTTGCAGACCACAACTTGGGGTTTACGGGAAACAGTCAGGCTATTCTGTAATATGTCAATTCGAACTCTCAAAGTGAGCTCGATTGCGGTCCGCCACAGGCGAGAATGCGATCGATCTCACTTCAAGAATTCGAATTGACTTCTGACAAAATTGCCTAGTTGGTTACTTTTTGTCGAATTTTTTTACCTTTAATGAAGATCATCATGCTTGACTAAAGTAGCTTAGCTTTTAAGTTGCCGACAGCATAAACTAGGAGTATCACAATAATTGTCTACCCGCCGCTTACATTCTCGCTAGCCGAGCCAAAAAGGCGGGAGGTATAAACGTGTTTTACAATTTATTTCATAAAAAAGTTAATTTAATTTTCTCTCTAAATCTAGCTAAGAGCGTTACGTTAAATTTTTATCTAATTACTTTCTTTACTTTTTTATATCTCTCATTATTTAACTCGTCATAAAATATAATCTGCAAAACTAAAATTTATGTAACATGCGAGTTTTTTAATATTTTTTCTTTCCAAATATTTTTTTATAATAATTATATTTGATATATCGTATATGTTTAATAAAGCGTTCTATAGTAACGATATAGTGTATTATTCTTATGTGTACCTCTGTAAGGTCATTTATCGCTAAATAATACGTTTAGACATTTTATCGAAACGAAAAAGTTTTGGTCAAAAAGGAGGCGTCAATAAAGGGAAATCTGCTAATTAAAAAAAATTTTTTTTAAATATGTAATAGTATTTTATAGCCTGTATGTAGAAACAAAATTGTGTTAACTTGTTTTCTGATTCAATAAACTATTATTGTTATAAAGTAATTGTTTGGTTTGTTGACACCTTTTCTCGACTATTATTGAAATCAGACTTAGTCCATATACTCTGCTCAATTGTTAATTGATTTTCAGCTCTAAACTTGGTTGAAAATAGAAAATGCGTGATACCTAAGTATCTACGCATATATAGCACTTTTAGGCCCTTATCATACTAGCAGTTTGCGAGCGTCTTCAAAGCGGATTGGGTGCGTAACGAATACGTAACGGGTGTGCGACGGATATGTCGCATGCATGCGTACCACCGTGCTTTTAAGAGATTAGGAATTTCAGGATTGTGCGGGGATTCAGGGATTGGGAAAATTGGTGAATGGGGGGAGGGGGTAAGTACGCGCGAGACAACGTATTTGCCACACATTCGCTACAAATTCTAGCCGAGGCGTGTTCGTGGTACACCCGTAGCGTATCCGTTGCGCACCCACTCTGTTTTCAATACGTTCACAATCTGTCAGTATGATGAGGCCCTTATGGGGCAGAAGGCATACGAGCAGACGAATCGTCTGATGGTAAGTGATTGACACCCGCACCACCGGAGGAGTTACAGACGCATTGGCGGCCTAGTACTTAGATTTTATGAGAGAACGAGCATATCGCATAAGTATGTATAAAGACAAGTACACTATTTACAAGGTGGCACAGAATATTTAGCACTGATACTAAGAATGGGTCGATATCAATGTCTAATTTGTAACCGCTTTTTATATTCTCTTTACCTGGGTATGAACGTAATTAAGTTACTATTCTATCGTTTTCTTCTTACATTCAGTCAAGTCAATAAAATAGGGACTAGCACCGCACTGCTTTTAAGGCATTTCACCACCTACAACTAGATACCACATGTTTTTTTTAAGTCGACTTGAATAGAATATAGTTGACATAACTGAAGACCGCCAGATTATTGATGACCAGAAATAAAAAAGCTTTGAGGGAAAATCAGTGTCAACATGTATGTACATTCACCCCGTTCGCAGTTCGGGTATGCACTGCGGTAGTGACGCACTCAGTGCAGTCGCGTTATATTGCTAAGTTAGCAACCGTGGTCGATTGCAAAATATTACTTCGAACAAGTTTCTTAAGAATTTAGGTGGTGAAATGAACCTTTTAAGAGCTTCTACGACTTACATGAAATGACAGCAGTCTTTGATTCAAACAGCTCTTTGAATAGCGCGAATAATTTCTACATTATAGCTTTTACCAGTTACACACTAATTGTAAGTATGATTGGCATTTAAATTGTTCTTGTGTAAAATGGTTAATTATTGTGAAGAGAATGAGTGAGGCTAAGTAATTAACATTTAACACGTATGGCAGTGTGACTATGTCGACGCTTGTTTATCGTAATATGTAAGGTAATTAAACTCAGTATAACCTGAAATTGTGCAGGTTTTTTCATATAATAACATAACAAAAAGGTGGATGGAACAAATGTGGTAAACAACCACTATTCACAAGTTATGTTACGATTATATTTTTAAACAATTCCCGGGCAAATTTTACTGTCAGCCAGACACTTTAATCTTACTGAACACATAGTCACGAAATTCATTCAATTTAAATAACCATTTTACACAGAAACCATGTAACTAAACTAACTTATGTCTAAGAACAGAATTCTCAGCATCATCGTCAATCACTAATATCAGCCGGAGATTACGCTTCCGAACGTAAAAAATCACAAATTACAAAATTTAAAAAATTGTCAAATATAAAAAAGAACGTAGGGAACCAGAGTACTCCCTGTGGAACTTAATATCACAATGTAGCTGTCTATGGGCCGACGCCATCGATCTACTGGTTCATGTCATGTAGCTTATAAAACCTTCACTTATTTTAAAATCGGTTACAATAAAATGACTATTCAATCTCATTTTTATGACAATTTTTGATCAAGATTATAGATATTTTGTGTAGTCTACCAAAGATGTATGGTTTTCTTTGGTAATGTCATTTAGTAAACCGTTACGTATTTTATTTCGATATCACAATGTAATAAGAACATAATTTGATTTGTAATTACTGTG